TAAATTCCAAACGCTTCTATTGGAAATCAGCACTTAATGGAATATCTCAAGGCTTTGCCCTTTATATTTTATACTATGTTTCAGTGAACACCCAAGTATAGTCCAGTCCCTGATGCCACTGTACACTGATGATGTTGTAGTGATCTACTTTTATGAAGAGAACAAGATCGGTGTAATAGAGACATCTATTATTATAATCAACTGTACCACTGATTGAATTACTTTACCTTTTCGTTTAATTGTACCAAAAACAGACTTTTTTCACTGTTTATAACCTTGAATGTGCGAGCAGTAATCTCGATTGTGAACTTTGGCACGATTTCGGTATTATTTCAATACCACGAGATCACTAACAGATATGTCCTAACTAAAATCTATAACTGTCCATCTAATATTCATCCTACAGAGGGATTTAACCTGTCAACTGAGACTCGTCAATACCATAATGTAAATATCTGGCGGTAAATAACAGGATACTCAGCTGTATGTGCATTTCAGGCGGACTTGGTCGTTCTGTTTAGCTGGTTTAAAAAATTGCTGATGCTTATAAATGCGGCCAAGTGTATCTATATGCATTTAGGGGATACAAAAGTTAAATAGGTACAGAATAGAGAAGTGCCTGTATTCGTTGTCCACTCTCACAAGGGTCTTGGAGTGACTGTGAGCCATGATCTTAAGACCACGACTCACTGAACTGAGGTCTCAGCTAAGGAGATTAGAACCCTGTGGTGACCTACTTTTATTAACATAACGTGACTGGTGTAATGGAACTAATTACTATTATAACCAATCGTACCAAGGATTGTTTTACTGTACTTGCTTGTCTAAATGTACTAAGAATAAACATTCTTCCGTTTCTTGTGACCTTGCACGAATTCGTTACGCTCAGTAACCACACTTGGACTCCTTTGGCACGATCTCGATTTTCTTTCGATACCACGAGATCGCCAACAAATACATCTCGACTACAGCCATCAACTGCCTTCTGAAATTTGGCCTACGGGGAATCTTATCGGTTAACTGGCAAGTAGTCTTCCTGTAGTGGTGATCATAGTCGATCGCGACTCGACGCCACACTACAACCCTGTGGGCTTTAAGACGGACATTCACGATGTTAGATACTAATATATTCACCACAGTATACACAAGCTAAGTGAGATCTAAACTTGTAAGTTTTGTTTAGGCCACGAGCCTTTGTTTACAAGGTGACTCGGATATCCCGGAAAAAATACAGAGTGCACCTACCAATGAAATTCAACAACACCGGGGTTTACTATACAAAGAGGGGCCTGAAAAGCTACATCTCTTTACTCAGTCCTAGAACAGATTAAGAGGTGATCTGATTTTTATGCATAGACCACTAACACAGATGACCTGAGTTGAATGATTGAGGGCCTACTGGAGATGGACGAGGATGGTGTGACGAACCAGCTAACTTTGAAGTCACACCTCGCAGTCAGTATCTATTTTGGATTACCCTTTCGTCGTACCAAGGGACTACGGCTGCTCTGAAAACCGTATTGCACTGTAGCGGTAAACAATTCCTTAAAATAAATAGCTCTGTAAGTTTTCGACATTGAATGCTGGCCACATTAGTTTTATTAGACTCACCTAGCTGAAGGTGCTCGGTCATGTATCCGCACCAGATCACGAGTGTGAACTCCGTGCTCAACAACCCCTGCAATCGCTAGCTAGATTAGATCAGACGATCCTCGATATATTGATAGCCTATCAAATATATCTTCGAACCTCCTCGCTTCTGACTTTGATTTCACTTGGTGGGTGCGATTCGTATTAGAAGGTGTTACTTTTAAAGCGTTGTCAAACTCCGAATACCTGTGGCATCTTCAACACTAAGGACGTTATTGTAGAAATATATTAGTAAAAGTGGGTACAACTAAGAGATTGCAATGAAAACCGCATGAGCCAGTCAATAGAGTGCGTTGGTTGTCCTTGAACTTGATTAGGATTCGTGAATTTTTCGATATTGAGTGACCTAACTGTCGAATTATTTGGCTAGGGTCCAGTGGCATTCCATTGGCTCTACAGATGTATGGTATGATAAGTAATGATTTTGGACCAAATATATCTTCTCTTTTTCTTCCTACAAGACTGGAACAACTCAGAGGACATAGTAGTAGAGTGGAAAAGCCAAGAGCGAACAAAATACACATGGCATACAGGTCCTCACTCAGAGTCAGCAATTCTTGGAACCTGTTGCTGGAAGCAGTGGCGGCCCCACCTTTAATTGCATTTTTAAAGCGAAGACTGGACACTCACATAAGTTTACTAGGAAACGATTTACATATGGTGTAGATCTTCTGTCCTTATACACGAATCTGAAAGTCTGAAGGTCAATCGTGCAAATGACCTACAGTCGGCTTGCGGTACTGTTTTGAGCTGGGTGCGTGAAGATGCCGAAATAGTGTATTGCATAAGTATTTTCACGTTCGCCTATTGTATGACCGGTTGTACTGAGTCGGAACAGCAAGATTTGGAGCGTGAATAGGATGTTTTTGAAGTTGTGGGAAAGCTTGCCCATAAAGTGCTTAAAGCTTCTTGTAGTTTTCTTAAAATGTCCGTAAAGTTCAACTACATCGACTAAGAGTTATTTTTTCCAGCTTTAATATTGCGCTGTGCGAAGTTGTTTCTCGAGGTGTTGACGGAGACTAAGAGTCAGTATGTCCCAAATATCTTGTCATAGTATATCCTTTTCATCTCCGTTAATTTATTTCCTGTCAATCCAAGATCTTAAATAATTAATTCTGGATAATCGTCCTGGGGTTTCCTTATTTCTGCTGTTTTCTGTACTATAGGTTAATCATTTGACCACATGTTCAACTGCTGATCAAATTCATAAATACAATATAAATTGGGGTTTATTTAGTATATAATTGTCTTTTGGCTTGCAAACAGGTCGGTTTAACTGATCGATGTAGTGCAACTGACCGGAAATCCAAATTCAATACAAAACCGTTGGGAACGTAGGGAAACATTGCAAAATTGGTCTGAAATTAAATAGCTTCATATCTGTGGATTACACAATTTTCCCGTAGTTTTTGTAATATTCCAATCTAATTTCGGAGACCCATAATGCTACTTACACATTACCGAAATTTAACACAACCAACACATGACATTCAGTCGATCTTTATCAGCCGAAAACCTAGCAAGGATGAGCATCCAAGTCCTCACACCTCGTAGTAAAGGAGGGGGTAGGAAATCAATATCAAAAACAAAAGAAGTTAGTTTCAACTTTCATGGAAATCTAGGGCTAGGAACTACGGTTCAGAACGAACAAGCAAGACTGAAGAATGAGAAGTTAGGAATGGTATTGAATTTTAAAGCTGGCGGAAAGCAAGGGATTGACGCAACTAGATCACTGTAACTGATTCCGAGCAATTCTACTTAGCTTCTCTTACCAAGCAAAAATTATAGAAAGTCGACTGACCTATACTATACTTTTGAATTGGCGTGGAAACAAATGTTTAGACTGAGAACGTTAACAGTGGAGATTGGTTCTCATTGAAAATTCCGTTAGAGGACTATGTCGTTGTGGGAAACAAACCTTGTACCTTCAAGCATTTGATCTCGGTATATGAGCTCCATCAGGCGGATACTTCCAAGCAAAAAATATAGCCACATAGCGGAGTAGCCGTACTGTTTCCAGAGCACAAACATAAAGTCACGTCACTGTAAAATAGTGACCGAAACTTACAAGGTTTTCTACAGAAAAGGTATAAGTCGAATATGATCACTCTAGTTACCATACTGCAAGGTGGTTATAGGATATTTGGAAATGAACTAATTTCTGGGGTCCCGTCTCTTGGATGTGAAACTAAATAACATGTTAATGTCGCTATTAGTCTTCCAAACACAGTAAGACTTGAATCACTTTGGAACAAATGATGTGATTAACTGTGGTCTTTAATTTATGATCAGTGTGTTTCACTACTCCCTCAAAGACTAAAAGTCGGGTCATTCAACCAGAGGAGAATCGGACCATGATAAAGCTTGACCAAGAGGTTGCACCATTTCACTTTACATTGAGTAACAACGCGGATGGCCTGTACTAACTCAAAAGTTGCACTGTTATAACTCACAGGATCAATATTCATCATATATTTACACCCAGTATCGTAGACTAAAGGGTGATTGCATCCTTCCACTCTCAAATGTTTGGATCAGTTCACTGGCACATAAAATAATATCCCCAACAACCAAATGATTATGTCTGATAGTCTTGATATTATTCGTGAATGAAGAGCATCTAGGTCTTCCATGTTTAAGGTTTTGAAACTATCATTCGTTCAGTTTCTGTGGACTAATCCTGTCTTTAGGATGCTTTCAGGACATTATCTAAATTCGACGTGATCGCAAATATATCTTTTAAGGGTACTAACTGGAAATCGGGATTAACAAGGTGCATGTAGTCATTTTCTGTGTATTTCTATTAAGAAATGTTTCCCAGTTCACGGTTGAGATCCTAAATAGGAAATATTTCAACTGAAATCGTTTTACTTTCCTGTTAACAAAGACAGCCCACTGTTTGACTTCATAAATTACTCTTTCGTTCTATATCTTTTGTTTTCATTATTTACGAACTCATTCAGTTTACTAACGTCTACAAATGATCTGGTGGGACAATAAAGTTAAAGGTTAAGATAAAACATCGACATTGTTTCAACCATTAGGAATAGAATCGGAAGTTTTAAAATTAATGTGTACGTTTTGGAGTTTGTTGCTCCTAAAGTAAATTTAAAGGTACTTCAATAGTCCTCATTGGGTTGGTCGGTATTGTGGGGAAGGATCGTAGTATCTCTAGATTTAAAATGACGTTTTAGCCATTATCGATGTGTCATGATAACCGCTTAACAAAATTTGTACTCTATGGACCTGAAATGTTTATTGAATCACGTTTTTTTTTACCTTTACGGATAGGTAATTATTTATGAAACAATTTGAGCGATATGTACTTTGAGTAAAGTCTTTGCGGTTCACAGTGATCGTAATCATTGTGGATAAAATTTTTAAAAGGACTTTCTATTCTTCACATATGTTCAGAACACTAAGCTTTATTGGAATAAATTGTACTGGAAGGATTGTATCACGAAACGAGAATAATATTGACTTGATTTTATCACAGCTGACTATAAACATCTCATCATTATGTTAAAGTACTCAACCAGGATTAGAATTTATAGAAGCGAAATTCTGTTGATGAACATCCGTTTGCAGAATGTGCTCAAAACTCTTCAACATCATATATTTGTTAGACAGTCAGTCTAAAAATAGCTATCCCGATCAATAATATTTCATTTTTATGTATCATTATTTGTAGTGACTTAACAGTGTGGATGTATACAATGATTTAATTGTATCATCAATAAAAAAATGTCATTGATTCCAAATACAATTGACCTTGGACAGTGATTTCTTTATATCCATACATATTCGTGCAAAACATGATTTGTTTATTGATCCGTATATATGTATATGATAAACATAATTAAATAAATCATTTTTTGATTGATGCACACACTTTGGCGATATACGCTAAATTAATTAAACTAGCGATTATTAGTAGTTAATCAGTTTTCAGAATAGCTTGACCATTCATTCATCCACATGATGTTGCTTAATTGTTGTATTGTTAAAAAATCTAATCTCTTCAAAAATATTATTCATACTAAACGTTATGGCAAGTCTTACATGTTAATCGTCCTTTTGTATAGTGGAAGAACTTTTAAAAGTATATATGTCGACATATTATGCTCTGTATTTTCGATTATCTTCTAAATATTTAAAGTTTTTTTCATATTTTGTTTTTGGGGTAATCATAAAGCAATGTCTGCTGATATAAAAACTGTTCTGGCTTCCAAACATTACGGTTTTATGGGATCTGGTAATATGTCTCAAGCATTGGTCAAAGGTTTTCTAGCCTCAAGTACGTTTTTTTATTTACTTTTATTATGTTTTTTTTACATATCAATAATTTAACGTAGTTCTGTAAGCTCTGTATTTTCTTTTTTGTTCGGTTATTTGATATAGTTTATTTTGCTTTCATACGAGGATAAGATTACTAACATGCGGTATTTAGATAAAATTAACCTTTAGACTAATTGCCGAGTCTGTTCCGAAACCATCTGTTTTCTTGACTGTGAACTGTTAGTTCCCAGTAGTTATGAATGCTCTATTTCATATTGTCTGGTTATTTTCTTGCACTTTATGTATTTTGTTCTTGTTCGAAGATCAAAGTGTGTATGTTTAGAAAATATTTACTTTGGATGTCCTGATTGTCAAAATAATCAGGCCATATGAAGTGGTTTAGTTTGGTGAAGACGGTGACTAAATGCAGAGTTTTATGATCACCTTAAGCAACAATGGAAGCGTGTTTAGGATGCGGTTCTCTCCCTCCAAATGTAAAATGTTACTTCAGGATTGGGTCGCATCATCGGATGAGCTGTTGATAAGAAATGAAGTAGTTGGATGCATCGATTTCTCCACTTATCTTGGGAGTCTCGTCAGTGCTGATGGTCTGGTGTTTGACAAAACCTCAACGTAGATTCAGAAGGCTCGACTGGCTTTTGCTGAGTCGAGTCACTTGTGGTGTAGGCAACATATCCGTCTGCCAACCAATAGATGAGTTTGCTGTGTAGCAGTTCTCTCCGTTCTACCTTATGGGTGTGGAACATGGCCATTCAGAAGAGAATATTCATAGGTCACTGGTATCCAGTCATAGGTGTCTTTGAAACATCGTTCGTGTACTTTGGGAACACGGAGTAAGCAGTGCCTGGGCTAGGAATAAAGTCTAAGTTAAGGATGGCAAATCGATTGAAGAGGTAGCAAATCTTCATCAACTGAGGTGTTTGGGACATATCTTACGTATTTCCAACCACCGCCTAACTTGACGGGTGACTTTTTGTGGCGTAGGAGTTGGTTGAAAGGAAGCTAGGGGTGGCCAAACCAAAATATGTCATCAGTCCATGACGTTAATCACAATTGGACTTAGATGTGCTAATAGATGTAGACTATCTGATTGGGATCGGCGTGATTGTCGTAACCATTAGTCATATACTTTGAATGACATGACTCAAAATCGTTTGTAATGGAGCAGGTGAATTCGTTCTTTGTCTTTTTCCAAACTCTTAGATTCTAAATTCCTCATAACCTTTATTTATTTTCATTTCACTAATTCATGTTTTCTCGAGTCATATCTTCGATGCCTTTACTATTCTGAGATTTGATCTGACAATTTCATTTCTCTGTGCTAATGGGGTATGACAACTTGAACTGATGTACGTACGTACCAGGATCTACGTTGTGATGATTGTTCACAAATGGAAGATATCTTCCTTATTTTCTCACTTAGCCCTCGGCATTCCAGCAAGAGAAGTTATATGTTGAGTAGAATTATTTATTAGATTGACCGAAGAATATTGATCAGATGTATAGTTATTTGTGTATAATGAAATTTACAGTATTTTTAGAAATAAGGTGGCAAAATGGTATACTAAAACAAACGAAAAAGCTGAATACTACCAACAAACCTTAAACTTGAACCCCATCAACTGCTTGTGAGTTTAATCGTTTTATGATTTAAAGTAGATTGGTGGTTTGACCGTAAAATCAATTGGCTACCAACTACTAAGTTATGGGTTTAGACCCTACCCCACCCTCATTTAGGTAATTAGATAGAATCACTAGCTCTCACACAGAATATGATCGAACACTGAGCACACGAACTTAGTTGCTAAGTTACTTTAATTAATTGTGATTAAAAATGTTTTCTCATGAAAAATTAACAGTACACAGAAAAGACGAATAAAAGGTTATTTCATCAATTCAGAAATAATATTCCTCAGTAAATTTGTACGAAGTGCCCATTTCTTCAGATATTTGTATTCAGTTACACTGATCACATAATTTACAAGAGGAATATAAAACATCCTATTAAATAAAGTAATGGCTGATACGTTGGATTAAGAGGGTTTTTCTACTTGTGTTTTGTAAAGTGATTCTATTACTAGTCATCGTCAGATTTTTTAATAACAAACTTGTAAAATTTTCGAGTCCTTGTACTCTGTTATAAGTTTTGTGTACAATAATTTTTCGTAATGTTCTTTTTTCTGAAACTACAGATGTAATCACTGGTTCGCAAGTTACAATGACTGATCGGTATGGTTTATCATTTCCAGATGCAGAGGTATACTTTGTGTACAATATCATTCTTGTATATTTTGAAGATAACACTTTGTTAGATTAATTTATCCTTAAAGTGTAGATAACTTGTGTTTTTGATGTAGACCAATTTATTTTATAGCTTATTTCCATTGATAAAATTGTTTCAATTCAACAAAACAAACTATTAAACTTATTATTTATGTGGTTTAATAGTATGCTTTGTTTTAATTTGTGTTATTTTTCGCGAGACTAACTAATACTGGATTTCAGATAGTTATTTTACATCCCTTTCTGATACTTGTTAACTAAATGTGTACATATTTAATGTTTTATTCAAGAACTATTTACAGTGAAGATACTTACAAACATTAATTCTATTTTTAATACCTTTGGTTAATAGGTTGAATTGTAACAATGAACGCCTCCAGGTAGTAATAGATTGTCAAATCTGGTAAGATCCCGAACAAGCGATTTCCAGCTTACTTTCCCAGTGACCATTTTCTGTACCAACTAAAATGAGAAATGCTGTTTGTTCTGTTCACACAACAGTTAAGTACAACACTTAGTTATATGTAGGGTAGTGGTTAGAGGTAGTCGATAGCAAACCCTGGACCTAGGTTTCGTGCTATTCGCCACTTGTTAGCAAGGTGTGCCTGTAATCTTGAGGGGTTTGATGCTCCCTGGCGGACTCAAACCCAATGCCTACACTGCAATCTGGTCAGTAGAATTCGATTTGCACTAAGAAGGACTTGACACACATGACCCTGGTCACTATCCAGTGATCAATCAATTGCAAATACTTAATGATATGACTTCATGAAGTAGAAAATCAGCGAAGATTTTGGCGAGACTATAATTTATGGAAGAACCAATCAGATTTAGAATAACAAGTCTTGAATTTTGGCGCAAAATTCATCCACCCATTTGTCTAAATAGCGTTTTGGCACTTTAGCTAATGTGAGTTCGTGATGAAAAATCATAAATCTAATTCCTAACTATCAACTGTGAATCATAATCCTTATTCTTTAAACTAATTTACAACCTTCATTTACCCTTAGTAAGTAGGTAGACATTCTCAAGGTCACTTTGGCGTCACTCAAATGTCGTCTATAAGTTATAGTCTCATCGAAATTTTCTGTCAATACAGCTATAGGGAATCTATTAAGGGAAACCTAAAAGTATCGAAAACGTGATAGACGCAACAATGTACAACATAAATTCTCAAAACAATAATCGTTTGAATCCTCAATATTTTGACAAAACAGTCAATGAGGTCTTTTTCTAGCATTTATTTGCTTCTTGAGTTTTGGTTTCATTACTCAAGAGAATACAGGATTCTTCTTGCTATTTCTCCTCAGCTTGATCTGTCCATCTTACCGTGAATAACTCTTCATTTTTTATGCTCATTCGCATAAAGATAAATGTGTTAAGCACAGACTCATTAGTCAGAACACTCGACTTTCCATCACTAAATAACAAGTTGTAATCTATTTTTATCTAGTTTAGTTCAAGCAACCAGCTCGAAACGTTAATGCTCAGCCATAAAGTGTGGATTGAAAACGAGTAGGTAAACCTATACTTGTTTACTACATTTTATCGATTGGTTATTGGTAATGTTCATTACCTTCTTAATAGATGCTGAAAATGTCAGTCAAAAAGTAAGAATCACTGCAAATCCTCTTTAGTGAATTACTGTGACTACTGGGAATTCAGCTGAGATGTTGAAATACATCAGTAACTATTAGAAAGATCTTTGTCTGCTTAAAACTGTAAAAGAATCAATCCTATAGAAAAAGCGAAACAATTGCCAGTTTTTTTCTTATAAAATATAGGTAACGAGCAAACACAATTTGAAGTTATTTACCATATAAACATTTGAGGGCTTACAGTTACTAAAACTCACCTGTTACCTGTTCACAGAGTTATAGTGTGAATTAGTATGAGTATATTGTACGTTGGTCTTCATCATTTCACTTTGTTATAATTGTTTTACAGGTATTTTGTTAACAATATTTAAAAAATGTATTTAGTGATTAGATCCAAAATATGGTATAATATTGGTTTATGTTCTATGATCTACAAGAATTCATTATATCTTTAGTTCACTGTTTAATTGTTGTCATAAATGACGAGAAAAGAATGCAAATGGTTCACACTGCTTAATTCTTCAATTGATATATTTCTGGTGCAATATATCTACCACAGTTCTTTATGCTTTATACTGCATTATCTAAGCAAATCTTGATAGAGTTGACTGGGGAATATCTTACTTCCTACCGATCGATCCTGTTGATATCAAACTTTAATCTGAGTATTATGTAAGGCGTAAATTGAAAAAAAGTTAAAGGGATTTTCCCACTGTATTCTCTGACTACGCTACAAATCGATTAAATAATGATTTTTATTCTGTTTAGGGAAATAGGTTGACTTATAGAAATCAAGCACATGATAATCCCTTCCAAAAATGGTAAATGCTTGTGTACTGTTGTTAAAGTAAGTAGAAATACTAACCTTATTAATTAATGGTTCTGTGTTCAGTCGAAGCGATCTGTTTTTGTTTTTGAGTTTTCTTTAGACCTAACTATTAACATTGTTACTTTCTTTGCAAAGCAAGCATTAATTACCGATGAACGGATGTAAAGACATCTCTTAGGAGATGGTCGGCTTTACATCAATATTTCTAATCCTTTTTATATATTGCCATGCGTAGTTAACCTTGATTGCTCATAACAACAGCTTAATATTTGAGTTCAATACTGTCTTAGTTTGTTTTGATTACCTATATTTGTTTTCTACGCACATTTGTTTAGTTTCTGATACCGCTGAAAGCTCTATGTTCTGTAAGTTAGAAATGGCGTGGTGTGATTATATACCAGTATTTTTACTAAAACTTTGCAAACTACTGATTTCATGTTAGTAGAATAATGTAATTGTTTGCTATTTTACCAATAATTAAGCTTTTATGTGCTAACGCTAAAATTCACATTGTTTTAAGGATCTAACTACTGGTTTTTAAGGTGGTCGATTGTCCTTGACATGGAACTCAGCGCTTAAACCTTTTACTCCCGAAAATATTGTTACCTTATCGAAACAGTTGTAAATGGTATTGGCAATTGGTGTTGAAATGTAAGTTGTATCGTAAACATCTATATCTAACACCACCGTACTCCTTTTACTCGTATCATGTGTCAGGTATATGTTCCATGGTTTGAGATAATTGTCAAGACTTTGAGCTAATTTACTTCGTTCTTAGGTTGTTATTTATCGCTTATAGAATGATGGCTGGCTTCCACTAATATGTGGTGTTGCCAAGTTGTGTAATTTGAAATAATTGAATCGTTATTCACATACAGGCACATTGTCAGGAGAAAAATTAATTTCATTGCACTAAAAGTTTTTAAATAGTATTTAGTAAAACGATTATCAAGAATTAGAGAGTTAAAGATTTTACGACTAACGTTAGCTGTTTTCGTCCAAAGGCAATCTAATCTGTGACTCAAATAGTTTAGTTCAAGTGTTAAAGTTGTCATAACATTTACAATTGATCATCTACCAATACGACTGGGTAGTTACCTCTTAAGAATAAACATCCTTCCCTCTCATGCTTACCAAGCAACATTATGGTAACCGTTTTCATAGGTAGAATCAGACATATCTGTCTCTTCCATGTTGTCATGATGCTAAAATTAAAAAGGAGGGAATGTTTTATGTCATAACTTGAAACGCCGGTCGGTATTATGTGTTTAATTCACCAATCAGAATTTTAATTGAATATTTCCTATTTCACGTCTACCATTCCGTTCATAAGCTGACCCCTTAGACGACTAATTATATGTCCTAACCTGCATAGTTAACCTTAAAACCCATCCGAACTAAGCTTTTATTGGTGGTTATCTGTAAGCTTTTCCATATCGTTTATCTTGAGTTTGAAGAGTGTTCAGCAGCCAGCTTCTGCTAAATAATATTTCCAAGCACACGTAGGTTTATATGCAAATATACTGGACCACATCACACCATAAATTGAAAAAACACAATGAATCATCAATAAGCCAGAAGTCGCTTTGAATATGTTTAGCTGTAAATAATTCATTGGCAATAAATTAGGAATAAGAAGTAGTATAGTTAATGGGTTAAACAAGAGCTTATGAAAAACTGAATATATAAACATTGTAATTCAGTCGTTTAGTGATTATACAATAAAAATGTAAATAATAGTAATCCATAAAATAGTTCCGGGAGTGAGCATTTCTTCAATCTTCGTTCTGATACATTTTATTACCAAATAAAATTGTATGTTCAGTTTATACTGTTTATTACCTTCAAGGTTTATTTGCATGATTTTCGATAAGAAACTGTAACATCTATAGCTAATCCAATCAGAACTTAAATGATTACGCATCGACAATAATTACACTATCACGAAATCATTTTTTTCCTATCAGAGTTGTTTTTCGCATTCTATCAAACAATTGGTTTCTGGTGATTTCGTTGTTTCTTTTCTAATCTGATATTTTAAAAAAAGCATAAATAACTTATCGTATTGATCAAATTAAACAAAGTTTTCTGCCTTCGTTTTTCAATCACACAAGTAAATTGAATCTCAGTTCTTTGTTTATTGCTGTATTACCAAATATATGAATGAACAAATCTTTGATTATTAATCTTTAATTAGCATGTGGTTATTGTCTTATTTTTATGGGGGATTTGATCATCAACTTTTTAGTAGCTTTGCTTTCATTTGGTTTTCTTTAAAGAAAAACCATTATTATAATGTTTTTGTTGTATTAAAAAAAGTGGTGTGTATGTAAATTTTTGAACATATAATGATCGTTAATCCTTTTTTTGGTAGATTGACGTATTTTCGGAATGAGCTAAATTACATAATACCTTGTTGCACAGTGTATTACGTTAATTCTTGCGAAAACGCAAGTGAAGATTCTTGCACTTTTTTGTAAAAAAAATATCAACGTTGAGAGATATTAGTCTTCATCGAGGTCGAAACCTTTGTCTTCTAAGGGTGTATTGTGTTCAGCTTATGAATATGTTGGTGAACATTTTTGATTACAGGTGATTTCAATCATGGTGTAGGTATTGTTGAGGTTGTACACTGTTATCTTTGTCAAAGGTTACAGTACGCGTTAAGATATTTTTAAGTATCGGCTATAAACAACTGACACATGACTGAATACTTATCTTTATTAAAGTACACTGAAGATATCCGACTGTTGGAAAACTAACTTTTCACAAAAATACAGAATATATAGTTGGATTTTATAGTTACTTGATCATTGTATATAAAAGTTATACCTATTTACAAAACGTGTATATTTATTACGTAAATGTCTGAGAACTGGATTTTATTTATTTATTTATTTATTTGAACACATAAATATTGGTACAAGAGAGCGCCAATATATATGCGCCACACAAAACAATGAGAATTCGAAGAGAAATAGAAAAAAAAGCTAAGGAGCGCAAAAAAAAGAGAACAATAACGAGGAGATTGGTGTAAAATAGTATGGTAGAAATGAGGGAACGGAAAGGTACAATCAGAAGAAATCTTTCAGTTAAGGAAGATACAACCATTTTTTTAATGAAGAAAGTAAAAGAAGGTTACAGCAGGATCGCCACTGCCTTCTATTCTCAGCCATATCTGATAACGTCTCTAGCTACTGTGTCGCATCATCTCTCGAGCCCCAACCAGGGGGTCGTGAAGGACCAACACAAGCCAACCCTTTTCAGCTTTCTTTCATGCCACGACACCATGTCATATACTGACCACATCTCCGCTTTTTCCAACCAGTCCCAGAGTCGGCAAATAATGCACGACGTGGAATTCTCAGGGACGACATTCGGAGAACATGTCCAAGCCACCGAAGTCAGTGTTTCAAGATGGTGACAACGAATGAATTATCATCTCTGTGCCCGAACACACGATGCCGAACCTCTGCATTACTGACATGCTGTTGCCACTGAATCTCAGCAATCCTTCGGAGACAACGATGATCAAACACAGAAAGTCGTCTAACATCCTCAACTCAGTGAGGCCAGGTTTCACAAGCATAGAGCAGAAGTGCTCTCACCGACGCGTTGTAGATCCGACCTTTTACAGCCAGACTGACATCACGAGGGCGCCAAAGATGGCCCAGATTGGCATAAGCCGCTCTGGCTTTCATGATACGTGCATTGATCTCATCACTCACACCCCCACCAGCACTTATGTTGCTACCCGGATACACGAACTTCTCGACTACTTCTATCTGCTCACCATCCAGGGTGAGTACAGGATTAGAATCCTGCCAGTCTTGTAGACGTACTTTGCACTTAGAAGGTGCAAAGCACATACCATACCTACGGACATTGATTGCCAACTGATTAAGTGCGGATTGCATGCCTTGGGCATTATCGCACAGTAAGACAATATCGTCCGCATACTCAAGGTCGAGAAGTCTTTCTCCAGGCAACAGATCCACACCACCATTACTTACATTTATCAGAGCTGTTTCCAGAATGTCATCGATGGCAAAGTTGAAGAGGAATGGTGAGATTGGACAACCCTGCCTAACCCCACTGCTCGAATGGAACAATGGAGAGAGGTGGTTGTATGCCCTCACTCTGCCTGAGGTGTTTTTATATAGGGCTTTTAGGATGTTAATAAACTTCTCAGGCACACCCTTCTTCAATAGACAATCCCAGAGAACAGTCCTATCCAACGAATCGAAGGCAGCCCTGATGTCAAGAAACACTACGATTGTTGGCCTTTGATAAGTATGACGGTGTTCTAACATTTGGCGGAGGGTGGAGATATGATCAATACATCCTCGACCGGAACGAAACCCAGTCTGCTCCTCGCGAGTCAATCTTTCTCGGGTTTTGAACAACGTACGAAGTATGACGGAAGCCAATAGCTTGGACGCAATCGGAAGTAGACTTATCCCCCGATAGTTGTTACAGGAACGACGTGAACCCTTTTTAAAGATAGGGACAACTATCGACTCATTCCATGACGTTGGTACACTCTCTAGTTCCCAAACCTTTGTAAACAACGTCGTCAATTCCTTAGTCAGAAAGTCACCACCATCTTTAAAAAGAGCCGGAGGTAAGTCATCTGGGCTAGGTGATTTGTAACGCTTCAAGTGTTGGAGTTCCTTGCGGACTTCCGCCTCATTTGGTGGATCAGTCGTCACTGGCCATGAAGGGCAGGACAGTCTGACTGATGTTGCAGGAGCAGCAGGCCAGTTGAACTGCCCTTCGAAAAATTCTGCCTATCGTCCAAGACATCGATGGATGTTAGTGATTGGCATCCCATCATCTTCGCAGATTGTTTCGCTCGCACCAGACTTCTTGCCGCCAGTGGCTTGGATGAGTTGGAAGAGCTTCCGGTAATTACCAGATGCCGCTGTTGCTTCCAGCTCATTAGCGCGCTTCGACCACCAGGCTTCTCGGTCCTTACGCAAGCTTTGCTTGATTTCCTTACGTAACATCCTTCGTTTATGGTCAAACTCACGGTCACCCGGAGTAGACCGACGGGCTTCAATGAGTTGTAAGGAACCTGCAGAAACCCAGTGCTTATAAGCGGGACGTTTCGCGAACCCACAACTGACTGGACCCACCGTTTTCATGGCGTCATGCAATTGCAACCAATGCTCATCTATACTTTTCGGTGGAATGGTAGCTAGCCTAGAGGCTAGCTCGGTTCGATACTTACTAGCAACAGAAGTTGCAACCAGCTTGCTAACATCAATCCGTTGGTGGCGGTCACTTCGTTGTCCACTGAAAAGTAAGGTAAGATTGGCGCAGACCAAGGCATGGTCAGAGTCCAGATAGGTACTCCAGCGGTAGCTGATCGCGATGTGATCAATCTGAGTCCAGGATTGAGATACAGAGGGAGGACGCCAGGCGGCACATCGGCGATGACTGTTCCGAAAGTTAGTGCTAGCCAGAAACAGGTTGTGGTCTGTGCACAGTTGCAGTAGACGGTCCCCGTTATCTGACCTGCGACCACCAAGTCCCCATCGACCACCTAATCGACTCTCTTTTGTGCCTAGACGCCCGACCTGAGCATTCAAGTCTCCGGCTAGTACTACAATATCTGTCGAACGCACTTTGTGGAGAAGAACAGATATTTGGTGGTAAAACTCATCCTTGATTGCATCCGGGCTGTAATCTGTCGGGGCATAGGTGGAGATGACGAAAAGACATCGTTTCTCACGCCGATTTCTTCTCACTTTGATGGAACTTTCTAATCTAACAGCACATAACCGACTGTTAATGGGGATCCAATCGACTAGTGCTGCCTCAGCTCTAGCGCTTAGTGTGACACCAACGCCAGACGAAGATGCCACAGGGTCCCCGGATAAACGCACGTAAAACAAGCTTTTCGAAGCGACAGATGGAGAGCGAATTTGTAGTACTTCACCAGAGTCTTGAATACGGGTCTTGGATAGACAGCAGACATCGATATTAAGACTTTCCAAAGACATAGCCAGCCCTATCTGTTGTCCGACCTGCATAAGTGTGCGCATGTTGAAGGCAACCAGTTCGAATGGTGCACGTGGTTTCAGAAAAACTGCTTCAGTACTCATATTCAGTGGAAACATACAATTTTCAACCGGACAGTGACTCGAGAACATTTAGATACAGTCGAATTTCCACCAAAGACGAGCCGCTGTATAAGTATAAAAGAGGGTGAATAATGTAAATAATAATAATAATTTGAATCATTTGATTGTTATTCGAAGCGAGAAAAGTAGTTTCCATAGATATAGAGAGTTCATCATTTGCGTGTGGGCTGTGATACTGCACGGATGTCATCATTTGATGTTATTTGAGGGAAGCTTTTGATTGATGAAGGGTTCACTACACAATGCTTGTATGGACATAGATCGTAAACTATAAGTCAACAAATACGTTATTCAAAATAACGTACTAGGTAGATTTCAGTTCTATAAAAAGTTAAGCAGTACGATATATTCCATTTCAGTCTCTCTGTTAGTTGCTTTTTTAATAAATATGAAAAAGAAACAATGTAACGGTATTTCGAGGTTAAGTTGTTTATATAGAAAACGAACAGCTGACTTTTAAAAAATTAGTTTATTTTGTGATGTATGATTTATTTTCCATTCAACCGTTAGTGACATTCCTGACTGTTGACTAATCCAACTAGACAAAGGAAAAAAAACGAGACTGTAGGAAACCGTGTTATCAAAGGTTGATATCTAAGTACATATAAATCGTCACTATTTGTAGGTAATCAACGTGACCGGAACAGGGAAATGTGGTTGATGACTTTGGTCATATGAATAATTCACTAATCGTAACTTACCCACACTTGCATTTGATTTACTAAGCTACCTGGAGACATCATTTAATTCTTCTGGATATATCGCTCTTCAGTCTTAGAACGTATGTCCCGCTTTTCATTCAAATGAACTGTTTGATGTGGACAACTTTTGTTGAACTTATCCTAGCTATTGGCTGTTGCATTCCGGACTGATTTTTGCCAGCCTAATGTATTCAGTAGACAGTTGATAACTTTCGTCATGATGGCGAAACTAATCTTAGTAGATAACAGTTTACTTATGCTATTGAATTGTCTCATCTTTTTCGAGTAGAAATATGGAGTAGAATATATACAAACAAATGAACCAATGGTGGAAAAAAGTGATGTCGTGTTCGCCTGCGTTAAACCACACATATTACTACCAGCTCTAAAAAGTCTATCCGATCGTTTAAATGATAAACTTTTGGTTTCTATTGCTGCAGGGATTACACTAGACCAAATACAACAGGTAAGATTTCGAAAAATTCCAGTCTATATAATTTGTAGTTGTCATACTTTACATATTACATTCCTTGTATGATAATTAATAATGTGGCTCATCTTTTGAGTATAGATTTATGTGGTGAACATATGGTGCTATGGTTAGTGACAGCTAGAACAGAAATCAAACCATTGGTTGAAAGCTAAGTCCTTAACTTGCTAAGCCATTACTCTACCTTTGTGCACTTTTAATACATTGTTACATAGATAAACAGATAGATAGGACACCGTGAAACCTTATATAAAGGTACACTGGTTTACATTTTCAAAATTTGCAACCATAGGAATAAAGGAGAAACCGATAGAGTGAGAGCAAACAGGCGTAGAGTTAGTAATGTATTTAAAATTCAATGGAAATGCATCTGCGCCAACAAGATCTGAATAACTCATTCACTTGGCCAATATATATCCAGTATTCTGTAGATTTTGATCTTTAAGTAATTGTTTGGTTTATTCATCTCATTAAGTCATGCTAATCTCAATAATCCTAACACCAAAAAAGATCGATTACATTAGGATAGAAAAAGCTGTCAGATCACTGATTTCTACAAGTTATCGTTCTGCAGTTGATAAATAATCAATTAACCAAAGTTTAGACTTGGTATGTAGTTTGAAGTAACAGGGGTTACTCAGCGATCAATCTATTTTCATTGATTTTTAGTCAGAAACATTTTGTATACCTTGTCATTATTTACATCAACATGCCTTGCTAGCTGAAGTAGAGTTGGAATAAGGAAAGTCTTAGCATCATCAGATTAGATTATCTCATCAATCGAAAACGCTTCTAACAATTATTGTTAATCCCGTAAAAGAACTACCTGATCAGAAAACAATAAACGTTAATGCACTTAGTATCGTTTGCTTGAATATTCCCATTGATTATTATTATTATTATTATTATTATTATTATTATTATTATTATTATTATTATATTAGCTTTATTCAATATTATAATTTTGGTACAATATAGAATTCTCAGCGCAAAGTATTTCAACAAGTTTCCGTTTCTTTCTTCTTGGTCGGTCCTGGCGATAAATATTGAGGAATCGCCAGTTAGATGTTAGCACTTCAGTGAATGAACAACTGAATAATGTACATTCTTTTCGTTGTACATTGCCAGCAACCATATTGTCTCTTATTGAGTTTTTTGTAACTTTGACAACGAAAGGTTGTACACTTTTCAGAAACGCAGCAGAATAGGTTATGCGATTAATAAACATAATGATATATTAAAACAAACAACAATAGATAACTTGTTGAAATATCTAGATGGCAGGAACAGGTAGCCCAGATGCTCAAGCAGGCCGCCGCATGTATGTTTAGGACTACAATTGATCAGTCTCTTATTAGCATATGTGCATACTGTACGTATTGCCTCGATTTTGCCTTAAGTCATTAGCATTATAAGCAAAAATGGTTGGTGGCTATCAGTGGGATTCAAGACTTTGCGAGGCAGCTGACGAGTCCCAAATAGGACGAAACGCGCGTCCTGGATTCTACTGCTAGCCACCATCCATCTTTGCTTATAATACTGTTTAATGTTATGTTTTTTAATTAAATGGTCTAATCATTAAACTTTCATTATCTCTCTAAATAATATTCTCATCATAGATTTTTAAAAGTAACCATGCACTAAAGGTATAAATAAATGTGAACTTGGCCACTACTCAGTGGTCAATCAATTGTATCTTAATCCCACGGAAGATCAGTCACAGTCCGAATAACTTAGTCATAACGTCTCAGACTACGTATCTGTGTAATATGGGATCGAATCGACCACGAAGCATTGGTTCCCTACAACTTATCGGCCCTTGCTTTCTGACCAGTACCGAATAGCACGAATTATAAGTTCAAGTTTTCCTGTTGATTATTTCCAAGTATCTGATATCACTAACAGCAATTATTATACTGATGAAAAATGAAGTATTGTATTTAGTTGAATGATTTATAGAGAACATTAGTTCAATTAGATATTGTTTTGTTGAAAATATAGGTCATCAAATGATCTCGTTATCTGTAAAACTGTACTTTGAATTATGTCTACTAACTGCCCGATCACAAGATCATGAGTTTGATTATTTCTCAGTGACACTGACATTTTGTTTCCGTAATCATCAATTGGAGTTAAATTAAAACTAGGTTAACTTTTTAATGTGATATCAGTGACATTGTTGAACATTAAAACTGGTTACATAAATGCATTTATTTATTTATTTTAACACATAGATATTGGTACAAGGAGGCACCAAATACATATGCGCCACACAAATCTCATTCGATATGTGTGAGGGCTGTGATACTGACCGAGTGCCCAAACCGAAGCAGGTGGTTTTCTTAGAGAGCCACACCCGGAGCCTTCGACCTGAAGGTCTGATTCACAAGGCTGTGGAGCATCGTAAGGAGATGCAGTCCCATGGAAGCCGGTGACCAACATTTGGTTCATACGCCATTTGTTCACTCAGGATACTGGAGCCCATGTGCACCATTTGTTTGGAATCCGGTTAAAGCGCCGGACATTCGCTTTTCGTCCTCTCATTTTCGTAAACAACACCCCCGCCACGAGAAGGCAATGAGTAGGACTTCCCTGGAAGGGGCTATATACGCGTGTCCATGTGAGAGCATTTCGAAAGGGAGAGCGGACTCTCCCCACTCTTGGCCGTACCAGGGCATATATACATATATTCCCATCATAATGATATATATTAGGGGAATAAATTGGGACTGCTTTTTTGTCCATTTATTTTATTTACTAAAACAAGCTTCATTTGCTTTTTCACCATATATTCTATAATATTATATATATAATGTTCAGAATACTATGGAAAAATCACTCGATCAAATAGTTTTCTTGTAAATGTGTCTAGCTATGAAAAAGGTACCCATTATTTAGACTTAGTTCTCATTCATCTTTAACATGTAATTAATAAAATAATAGTTAGTAACAATTATTTTTTTCTAAAAAAAATTAAAAAATCTTATTACGTAATAAATGTACTTTAATGATGTGTTACAATAATGATAGTAATAACCAAAAATATATATTTTTTCGATATTTAATCTTATTAATGAACAATTTTCATGTGATTATTATTTATAACACACATTATATGTTATTCATAATGCATCATTTACATCATATTGGAAAACTATTGATTTTTTGAATAAAGTATATAAAAGTCAAAACAATAAATGAATTAATATAATTTCTAATATATAAATTTGTATAATTGTTATGGACGAGAATATAGTTGATGGGGGGGGGAACGACGAACTATATTCTAATATAAAATTACAGAGTGTTTTGGTAAAATACGAAAACTAAACATTAAACAGTTCATTGACAAATTTCCATTATTATGTCGGTCGACATAAGTAGCATACACTGCATAATCATTAAGGTTCTTTGTTAGATATTTTAAAGTGCATAGCATGGGATTATATTATTATCTGATGATTATCACAGTTTACACTATTCTTTTTCAACTTAAAAAATACATTCGTCATGTTGGGAAGGTAATCAATAAAATTTCACCGTAAAATAGGAAAAACTAAATCATATTCACCAACATTCAATCGGTATTATGTTCATTAGATCAGCCAAGAATCACATGTGAAATTTCCTTAAGAATAGTAAGACTCAGTAATTATTATCGCTAAATCTTACATATGTTGAGGACATATTGTTATCAACTCACAGTTTTAAAAAACCGTACCTGGCACAAACTTAGATCTTTTGAAGAAACCCTTGACTTACAGTTGTCTATCTTTTTTAGTTATTCATGGAGAAGGGAGAGTGTCTAATAATATTCGGAATGGCTAAGTTTAATAAACTAAGTGGCTAATGTGGTTATAAATCTTTCACTTTAGCTCTTTTATTTTTTTTACTTCAGAACTACCCATATTCTTACATGTCGAGAACAAGTAATGGCTAGGTATCCTTTGTCGTAATATCTCAACTAATACTTGTTCAAATTTTCATCAGATTGTTGAATGTTAAGATCGTTACATGTCTTTTATTTCAGAAAAGTCTTAAAATATCGTCTTGCCTGTAGCGCATTATATTTACATCGAAAGTTCTTGGTCTTTATCTTTGCATATATATATATATATACCTATCTCGAGGTAACATAATTTCTGAATAATTATTCAGGTCTGTCAAATGATATCATTAAAGATACCAAATGCGTCAGCATAAAACTGAAAAATTTGCAATGATTCTGCCGTCAAAAACTGTAATTCCCTTTATCCGTATAGTGATTTTCTTCAACTTGATTTTATACCGGTGAATCTGATAAACTTATTTGTCGTATTTATGATGGTACAATCGATTTAATAAAACCATTGCAAGCGCGTGTTTCTAACTCGTCATTTATGAACTCAATCAACCCCGAAATTCAAAATGAGTGGATTTCAAAAAAAAAACCAACAGAACCATTAGTCAACTGACTAAACAAATTAAAGTATTTATTCATATTTCGAATAATCAGTTAAAATAGTGTGAATCAGTTACTTGTCAGATCACAAATAATTGATGAAGGATAGAAATAAATGTTATAAAATTATCAGTACGATAGTAATCTTGTTTATCCATGTCTATCGGATACTTACTGCTGACAACTACACTGTCCTAGCATTCCCTCTTCTAATTTAAAGCTGTATTGTTTCTTGTTAGTTAATTATTTCTTAACATAGCTCTTAACAGCCAATTTTATTTAACCCAGTTTTTTTTATCGTGTTTTACACTTATAAACGGTGTTTATTACCAACTTTAATATCTGTGTTTAGTAGTTATGTAAGAGTGGTTGAATAAAAGATTTAATTATCTGGAATTCTAAATTGTTTTGTACAGTAAAATATTAATTCAAGTAACATTTATCGTGATTGTTCTAAATATTACAGTTAGTGACAAAGTTATACATATATTTTTAAATAAATGATTTCAACTCCTAAAATACCTTTTCTTTATATTACATCTTATGAATCTGGTTATATTGATATACTTTATAGGCTGTGCCGAAATCTACTCGAATTATCCGTATTATGCCTAATACACCGTGTCTGGTCGGTGTTGGTACTGCAGTGTATGCACATACATCTTCTGTTACTGAAGAAGATATTAATTTGATTTCTGCCTTATGTTCATCAATCTTTCCTGTATTTGAAGCTATCCCGGAATCTTTATTTAATGCAGCTGTTGGAGTATCAGGATCATCTCCTGCTTATGTAAGTTTATTCACATAAATGATTTATCTATTCTTTTGAAATACAAAAAAGTATATTAATCACTCAGTAATTAGATTGTTATTTTCACCTACTCCAATAATACTTTCCACTAACTACAAGATATTGTATATGCCGGCGATCGATCGCTCACTCAAAATTTATCCAATCAAAATACTAGGAAATCCAGCCCGGATACCTTGCATACTTAGTATTAGTCCGTATCATCAGATTCAAGATCTCACATGATTACATGCATAAAGTGCAAGATAACAGCTCTCCATATAGAATAAATTTCTATAAGTACAGAAGACTAGGACATCTGAAATCGATTTATAGCAAAGTAACTGTACATAAGAACTTTCGTCTAAATTTGGACGAATAGTTTCAGAATATTTGGGCGCCGAGTTAATGTGAGACATTAAAGAGGAAGAATGTATTTGTAAAATCTCAGCGGAAGAATTTGAAGTAAATCCAACGTTTCGCCTGGCAATCTGGTCCAAGCTTTTTCAAGGAAAATATAATCAAACAAAAAAATTCTCGAATAACTGTACGTTAAAAACGTTAAAATATTTTGTAATAGTTAATCAGCCAAAAGTGATCTTACAATTGCGATGATATAAAATAACTTGAATTGGCTGTTTGGTAATAGAAAATTTGCAAACTAGTTTCACCCCGTTCAATAGTTGGGTAGTTTTCATCAAGAACTGGTGAAGTATATAAAATTATGGGGGACCAAATATACGTTTGATCTTAGTCTGAGACTTCTTAATGGTATACACTCACGGACCCTATATGAAGTTTGATCCACGACTAGTTAGCTTTCATAGTAAACATGATATTTTTCAGCCATTGAGTTGAAATTCGGTTGCCGAGATTCCCCAACTTTAGTCGGTCCGATATATAAATTGACCATTATTCAATCATTGTTAATAAAAGTTATATTTGAAAAAAATAATCGTCCTTTCCAACTTATAGTGGCTGAGTTTTAACACTTCCCGTTAAAAACTAACATATATTTGTGTACCTCCCTAACATATACCAACACTTGATCACTCTCCGTAATAGCTAACACTATTTGTTTACCTTGAGTTATTTTCGAAGAACTTGGGATTTTGTTTTAATACTGATTTACACATTAGACAGAAGATCCCATATTCATCACATATTCGTAACACGATTTTCATTTGTTTTATTATGTATCATTTACAAATAGTTATGAATGATGTCATTGTTAAAAGCCACAATCTTGTGCTCTTATATGCTTCATTGACTTTTGCAGGTGATATATGTTTACAGTAATAATAAAATTAAATGCTCAGAATAAGTTACTATATACCATATAACAAAGTAGCAAACTAGAAGTGAAAGTAATCGATCATATAGTAATAATAGGAATAGGAATTGCAGAGAAGCCACAGCGAAATTGTTTTATTCGTTAGAACTATGGTTTAGTAGAAAGAAAAAAAGCTAGATAATTCGACACCATCCTAGCATTATAGTACAACTGAATAATTCGATACAAATAAGGACCAACAATATAGTTTTATAGAATTTCTTATTCTTCACTAACTCAAAGTACCCAATCATAAAGAAACTTAAACAACAAATTATGTATGGTCTTGTGAATCGATCATTAAGAAAGGGAGTTTTTTTCTAGCATTAAATAATTTTGAATTCTTGCTTGAAGTTTAAATATTCCTTGTATTTAACTAATATTCTGTTGGAATTCTTTCAGAATAAAGCATTACCGACCATTAAAATGGTTATAAATGATATTTCTCATGATTCTTGTGAGGAAAGAAAAAATACACCATATTATATGTTAGTCTCAAATAAATCTTAACAATCACGAGTGTGTTATGATGTATAATCAAAGATGGTTGTAAATTCTGACCACATAACAACTGTCAAATATCAATACAAAATTTCAATTTTTGTTTTGCTATCTATCATCTATCTGTAAGGCAACAACAACGTGTGAATTCAATTAGTAAAAAAAAGTTTTGCACAAATGTGACGAGAAATTTACTACATTTTTTAAACATTTTCATCCATTTAAACTTTTATTGTTGTACGTTTTAAAGTCAGACTAAGGGTTTATAATATGATACAGTCTTGTGTGCCTAATAGTCATTGTTCTTGTAAAGTGTAATAAAGTTGAATATTTCCGTTCTAGTCATTTCATATTTAAATGTTACAGGTTTTATTTTTTATGTTTTCTACTTTGTATACTTAATTTTTATTGTCTGAATCTTTCAATCTTGTTTCCACCTAACACATTATGCTGTCAGTAAAGGGTTGTAAAAACTGTTGAGTTTTCACATGAATTAATTGATGTTAGACCACCATTGAAAAACTGGAAGCATTAAGGACTAGCTTCAAGAGGTAATTCTCGGAGGCCATAACCATTGGAGCTCATCTGTGTCGGGTAGAGACAGGTATCTACCTCAGTACAGTAGAAGATGGTAGCTGCGAGGCCGCCAAGCCCCCACATGCCCTGGTACGGTCGAGAGTGGGGAGACTCCACTCTTTCTCTCTCGAAATGCTCTCACATGGCCAAGCGTATACAACCACTACCAGGGAAGTCCTAATCACTACCTTCTCGCGGCATTACTGTTGTTTACGAAATTGAGAGGACGAAAAGCGAATATCCGGCGCTTTAACCGGGTTCGTGGACACGGAAAGTCTACCTAGCGGAGTTGAAAGTACCTGATTCCAAACCAGTGGTCCATATGGGCTCCAGTATCCTGAAGGAACAAATGGCGTATGAACTTGTCGTCACCAGCTACCATGGGACTGCGTATCCTGACGTTGCTCCACTGCCTTGTGGATCAGATCTTTAGGTCGAAGGCTCCGGGTGTAGTCCCTTAAGAAAACCACCTGCTTCAGTTCGGGCACCCGAGCAATATTCTAGCCGTCACATAAATCGAATGATTTATGTGGTGCATATGTATTTGTTGCCTCTTTGTACCAGTTTTTATGTGTTTAAGTAAATAAATAAAGATGGTCGCGCAATGTTATGGATCGATTGCAGTTAAACGTCAACACCGTTGGATGCCGGTTCAGTGGTCTACAGGGTAATCGTTGGTTTGGGAGACCGAAGTTCCTGGGATCGAATCCCGCGTGCGAGATCGTGGGTGTGCACTGTTGAGTAGTACCATACTATGACGAAACGACCGTTCAATGTTTCTAGACTTTCAATGATGGTCTGGCATTGATCGGTTTATGATATCAATATTATACTGTCGTTTTGTTTGAAACATTAAGACATGTATGTTTTTTTCTATATGCGACGATTGTGATACACTAATTTTAACTCTATTTATTATTTCTGAGTTATTTTTACCTTTTTTTGAATCGAAAACATTGACATCACTGGAAACCAGAGTGAACTGAACGATCATTAGTAATAAGTATGACTACCTAGTGACTAATTTAATGAAAATTTAATAGTCATATGCTGATTAGTCGTTAGCTTAAAAATAGATTGCTCACAGTTTATATTGGAATCTATAATGTATGAAGTAAATAATATCTAGTGGTTATCATAGTGCTTCAGCTATGATTTTGAATTAGGTTTACAGTTGTATAATGAACTTACGCTGTGGAATAATTCCTAACTAGCCAATGAATTCTGATTGTTTCTTCAAATGATGTATTGATTTACAGTAAAAAAGTGCAAATGGTAATAAGTATTAAGTTGGATACGGGAATTTGTGGAGATCGTAGTATTTTCAGAGTAGAATTCACGAGTCGATCTAAGCTAGACCATCATTGAAAAGGTTGAAGCCGTTTCGTCCTAGCATGGGACTCATCAGCTATTCAATTTGAACAATATAAAAAACAATAATAATAGCTAATTTGAAGAATTTCATAGTTTATTCATTTATATAAATTGAACTAACTATATTCATTTCACCATCGAATATGCTTCTTCCTGATCAGTCGTTAAACAATTTAATTCATTTTTCGGTCACTGATTTATGAAATTTATCATCTGAATTTCCACCAATACCGTACTATAGTTTATACAGTTTTTTTTCCAAAAGTTTCATTGTAGTTTTATTTATTTCAAATTGAATATATTAAAGTATTTAATTTGTTCTAATCAAGTGTAGTTTGTTATTTCAATCAGTTCAGTAGCGTATTGTTCATTAATGTAAATTCTAGTAGTGAATGACATAATTAAGTGTATCATCTCTACCTCTACGATTCAGAATTTTTCAAATTCACCACCATCTATTAATGTTTCTAACCATTTTATTATTTTAAAACTAACGACAGATTCAATGTTACGTCTTTCTTTCTTTCTATCGATTGATCCAACTGTTTATCTATTCATCAAGGCAACTATAGTTTGTCAATAATTTATTGCGTTGTAAAAGAATAAATATGAACATAAATAAATAAGTTGCACTTCTATGTTCTTAACACTGAATAATTTATTATTATTATTATTCAATGCAAAACTGTCTATTCCTTGATGCAAAAGCGACAATCGTTATCGTTGTCTAGATCCGAATTTTGTTTCTTAAAAAAAAACACAATATCACCGTCTCGAACCTATGGACAAAGTAATAAAAGTAGTACCAGTAGTATGATATATATATGTTTATATATATTCAGTCTATTCTAATAATCCATTCTTTGTACCTACTAATATCCTTACTATTTTCTACTTATAAAATTCAATATTTTGGTTCTGTCAAACATATGTTTATTGTGAGACAAACGGCATTTTACGGAATTGAATATTTCCTGTGGGATTCAAAAGGAGACGGTTATTAATCTTTTCTTGCCTTGGTCGACACGTACCTCGTATTAGTTATGTGTATATGTGTGCATCATGTAAAAAGTTTACAAACCTATCTGTTTCATGATTGAATTATTGTAGTGTTAATTTCTGATTTGTATTATTTCTCCCTGTACTGTTGTATTACTAATTTACGTAGAATATTATGTGCAATTGTGTCGTTTAGAAAAAGATGAAAATTTCTGAATCCATGTAGAAGATTTTTCAAGGAAAGGAAATGACTTTCGATAGTTAAGTTATGAATTTCAAGATAGTCGTTTTACAGTGATGTGTGTTACTGAGATGTTTTCTACACTAAAATGAAGATATCTACTCTTTTGTTCCCAACGAAAACAAACCTTTTGTAAAATCATTTTTGCACTTGTTTCAGAAATTCAGAATTCATTAACTTTTAGCTTATTTGTTCCGTTTGGTTAAATCTTCCCGTCGGTATTTAGGACTGTAATGGATTAGTCTCTTTTAACAAATATGCGTTCTATACAGACAGCCTCGATCTTATCATTAAGTCACAGGAATTTCAGTCATAATTAGGTGTTGGCTAATAACGGAATCCAGGATTTGTGCTTCGTCCATTTTGGGACTCATCAACTGTGCGCACCTGCATTCTATAGTTGATGTTCACATCGGGACTCAAAACACATAATTTGTAAGTCCATCTCCATTGCACAAGCTAGTGGCTATATCGACTTGCCAAGTTCATAATGTGTTGAACGTATGAAGCGAACAGTACTGGGTTTGAGTCCCTGCGTAAAAATCAGTATTGGGATGCTGGTATATACAATTGACAAGTCCCGAATAAGTTAAAACGCGCATCGTGTATTCCATTGCTCGGCAGCATCCAAATCTGCCTAGAAAATATTTTGTTTTTTGTTCAAACTAAAATTTATAATTTCATTTAGTTAAGTGTTTGGATAAGTAAAAACAGGAATTTAGTCTATTTAAGTTGGATTTACTCGAATTCTTTGGTTGAAACGAATACATATGTATTTGTTTCACTACTTAAAAACATTTAATTACTTTTATGTAAACAAAGTTTGTTGTAAATACTCAGTAAGGTCATTGATTTCAATTAAATATCTGTGTGTAGGTTACAATTAATTTTGCACTTGTTAAACAATAAGGTTTCACTAAATAGAGTAGTCTTAAATGAAAGTGAAAAAAACCATTTGACACTTTTCTTCATTTTATCAAGACACTGAAGAAGAATACCGCAACGGTTCCATAAGTTAGAAGCAAGTCTACTATAAATAAAAAGCATGTCGTCTAAAATCATTGTAATAAATAAGACTAACATTCATCATATTTTGTTTAGGTTATTTGATTAGTAAATTTCATCCTATAATTTATTTGATGTTACCATATGCTTGTTTATATATAGGTTAGTGCTTATACTATATAGTTTCCAAAAAACCACGTTTACTAGTACAACATGTAGACAGATGTCACAAAAAGAATTTTTAATGGTTTTATTTTGTATAATATTAGCATTACCAAGTATATTCTTCATCTTGAAATTGACCCATGTTTAATTGTATAGTTAGCTCTCAGTTATTCTTCAAATGTTTCCTAGTTTATGGTAGGTATTGTCTTCCAACTGATCAGTATTTCTATGTTATAATTCACCCATACTCTTCGAATTCAATTATCACGAGACGTAGATCGAACAAGGTTTCTTGCCGAATATCTTCAACAACTTAGCAACTTGGATCCTATTGCTTAATACAAACATTATTGAATTATTTTTCCATGATATCATTTTCTTTTTGTTATATGTTGAAGTACCTTTAATAGAACTAACTACAATAATCTGTTTTATTAAAAAAAGCCCGAAAATCTTATCAAATGTTGCATTAATTCTATGCACGACAAAAAAGAATAAAATTTACCATAGAAATAGTTAACAGACAGTAGAATTACGTTGGTTCAGCAGAGTGATGTAAACTGTAAAATATAATAGAAGTTTCTAAGAATCAATTCCATAAATGAACACTTTATTTCGTTGACTCGTGGTTTATATCAGTCTATATTTACTTCTATCACTCAAACAATCAACACTAATAGTAAATGAAAAAGAAGGGAGTTTATTTTATTAGATAGAATAATCTAATGATATCAGTTTGAAGGAGGCTTTCGTCGAGTAATAAAATCAACTGAATAATCATTGAAAATCATGAAGTATTGGGCAGTCATTTCACCGTATCTCAAGGGCTGTCTTTGATATGAAATTACGATTATTGAATACGTACTGTTTCTCAATAGTGGTTGCTGTAGGACCTCAATGTTCGGGATTCGATTACTAATATGGTCATGGTTATGCCATGCTGAAGGGTCAAACAAATTTCTCCGATTCTAATCGTTTAATAACGGATATTTTTCCGCTATATGGATTATATGTAGAATAAACTATTCTTCTTAGATTATCCAGCTAAATAATTTTGGTAATATGAATAAGTAAACAGCCTCCGCATTAAATTAGTTTATAATATTTTTCACTATCAATTAATTTGTAAATTCATCATAGCATGTTTTCACTTTTATTATCAAGTGTTTTGTGTGAATAAATCACACACTAACTTAAAAACCACTTGTTTGAATCATGAACTACAACGAATTTTCCACTCGCTATATTCATTTTGCAGAATTTACTCCTTCAGTTAAAATGTTTCCAGGTAGTTTACTTTTCAAATAACCTCTGCTTATTAGTATATTAGATGTTAATTTTTAAAATAGGCTTACTAGAGTAATACTTAATGCATATAACCTGAATTATTTATTAATAACATATTCCAAGAAATAGCTTTCAACCCACCGGTCTATTGATATTTTTTTTCACAAAGATTATACCAGGTTTCTTCTTTTCCACGATTTCCTTACCCTAAATAACCAATGAACGATTACACTGCACTATATAAACTTCAAGTGGTACATAAGTTCATTTAAATTCTTTTTAGCTTTTACTTCTGAAATTCAGACCAAATCTTATCCAACCATTCATCTACACGACAATGTAACACAATCATGTGAAGTTTTTCTGCGCACTAATGGGTACTAAATTCTTAAGATTTCGTTTGTATAAATTCCTGAATCCGGTTCGACAAAACACCTATGATGCATTATTACATAGTAATCCTAATTATCCACTTAATTCAGCTACACTTGTTACTCGTTTACCATTAAAAATGTCTGTTGAAACGTCATAGAAAACGCAGATTTTCTAGTAATTCTACCATTGAATAGCACTACGTATTATCTTCCAATAAAAATAAAAGTTCTCATAACATCACTATACATAGTAATCTCAGCAACCTTTCGCTCTTCATATAGTCTTCAATTAGATTATTGACCAAAATTATACATAAGACTACCATTTAATCAATCTGATGTTGACTAACGTCGAAAGAACCTGTAAACATATCCCTTCTATTCTGTTTTGTGGCCATCTTGAGGATTGCCTAATAGCGACGACAACACTAGTAGTCTAATCGCTTTACTGTGTATGATTTGCGGAAACAAAATATTTTACAAGGTATGTCTGTCATCTTATTCATTATTTGGCTTATAGGTTGAATGAAAAACAAATTTGTTTTTTAAATTTTTCCTATCACATTATTTACCCAAATATAAAACATCTTGTCCCAATTAAAGTCGGCTAAAATTTAGGAAAAAACATCAGTTGTGCCTTTTTTCAGCAATTAAAATAGGATAGACAGTATTTAAAAGGTCATAGTAACGAATAAAATCAATAATGTATTGTAATTCTTCCTTTGTTCAAGAGTTTTCTTCATACTTCATTACGGTCTTTCCCTTATTACCAAATGTAACTAAAGCAACAAACAAAAATTATGTTTATTTAGTGTATATGTGTATGTCAATCTGTACATTAGTCATTTTGATCAATATTATTTATTACAGCTTATTTATACATCGATCATGGTTGTCTTTCTTATGCATGCAAGACCTAATACCTATGATAGTATGTATTTGTGTTCGAAATGATTGATAGCTTGTTGCCAGTTCTCTCTCGGTGTTATTACTTTATGTAAAATAATTGGATATATTGACTAACTTTTTTGTTAATAAATTGATGTTTAGTAGTTATTATATCAAAATAAACCATTTATGATCTTGTTAGACGCAAGTTTCAATGGTTAATTAGCATTATTCATATGGGTAATGAATTATAACGGTCATGATGCCTTAAATTGCTACATAGATAATATATATATAATACAGAGAACAACTTTCAAATCGGTCCACATATGTAACTACGTTTTAAAAGAGTTTTAGAGTTAGTGTAATTTTTTTTAAACAAAGGTGGGTGGTGGCTAACAGTGGGATACAGAACATGCATTTCATCCCATTTGGGACTCATCAGTTGGTATTACCTGCATCCCAGAGTTGGTGTTTACTCCCGAACTCGAACCCAGTACTATCTGCTTCAAACGCCATTGCGTTATCCACGTAACCATTGAGTCCATATTAACCAAAAGGGACTGATCAATTTCAGTTGTAAACGTCGACAGGAATATTCAAAAACCCAATTCATATAAATTAAAATTCACTCCATCACAGAATCCAGTGACTATTTAGACTCAGTAGCTAAGTGGACAGCGTGATAGAGTTTCGAACAAAAGGTTCTGGGTTCAAATCCCGTAGTGGCAATAACTGTAGGATCCAAGTACGTTCAGTTTACAAGTCCCAAATCGGACAAAACGCTCGTACTGGATTTTATTGTTAGCCACTATCCATCTCTGCTCCAAATCTTTGTGACGTAATGTCTATACCGAAGTGATCCGCACAAGATACACGTTTGTCAAAAGAGACTGATCCATGACAGTCTATAACATCAACGGAAATATTCAAACAACCAATACATATGGTATCATTATTTACTGTTAACTTAAATTATGTGAATACTTTTAAGTTTATTGTCTTTATTTTCTAATATTCCAAATAGCATTTCCAACTGGTCTTGAAAAACATCCTATTTATACAGGAGATTGTTGACCGATTAGACATTTACTCAAAGTTAATTAACAGTTATGCACGACTCCTTAACAGTTCACCGCTGTCTTTTTAAAATTGTTCCATTTGAAATTACCTAAGCACCAAATCATTAACAAAGAGATCTTGATTTTAAATCCCACATCATTCACCTTAAGTGCAACAGTCAATCAGGGAGTGAAAATACTCTTGTTCTGACTTTATGTATCCACTTCACCTCCTCTAGGTTCATGAACATATGCAGGTTTATTTTGTTGTATATTTTTATTAAGTCATCAATATTTAAGCACAAGTCTATTGTGTAAATAAGGCGACTATTATTTCTTTTAGTCTTATTGAGGCGGTAAAAGTGGTACCATATATATATATATATATATATATATATATATATATATATATATATATATAAAGAGAGAGAAAGTCACAAGATTGTGTAGTATTTCGTTAATTCATTGTAATCACTAAAATAATTTGGGTGGGGTGATGAGCCATATGATAATCGGGTAACGGGATCGGCATTTTGTTCTACGTAATAAGTCTTTAGTATTGTGTGGAGTAGGCTGCAAAATTATCTTCGAGCGATTGCACGTTCAATTTTAAACTACGGAAAAAAATGTTTTTAATTCGTCTAAATTTTACATTTTCAAACTCGTTTAAAGCATAACTAGATCTCTAAAAATAAATCTGTTAAATGTACAATACGGATTAAGTGATTTGTAAATGACTTGAATTTAATATGTCGCTCTTTTTATGTGCTTCCAATAACTTATTCAAAGTCTGTAATCTTATTGGTAAATATCCTAAAGCCGCCTGGAAACTCATGTAATTATTATTCGTAATCAAATCTATAAACCCTAATTTTATTTGAAACTTTTTCTCCCACTGGTTAGGGTTGATTGTAGTCATAAAAATCGGTTAACATTTGTGATATTTTGTCTAAATGACATTTAAAAAACACCATGCTAATCGCGCTTGAGTTCATAATATAATTTATGCAAAGCGTAATTTGCCTTTCTTCTTTCAGTGTCTATACTATGTTAAATATTGTTTTATTTTAACTTATTTTCGTCCTACAATCTTTTTATAGAAATCATATAGCGATTGAAGGTAGTGTTTTTATCAAACAGTCATAGACGGTATCATTGAGGCGCTGATTTTCTTCTATAGGACTTGTTATATCTGTATGAAGAATAAAAGGATGATAACTGCTAGGAATTATTTATGGACTATTATTGCATATATTCTTATTCGATAACTATTAAGTAACCAGATTATATATATATATTCGTACTCCTTTTATTATTAGCTTTTATTTGATCTATCGGCTACGGTTATGCGATTTGCCACTCTTAATTTGTCCCCAATTTATTAACTACAGTCTCCCATACTTACAGGCACTTTTGACTTGATCTTGTACAAATAATATTTTGCATTTTTTGATGTGGTGTGGTCTAGTTCGCTTGTATATAAACTACGTATGTCTGAAATAAACGATTCATACAGCGGAAGCTAATATAACTCTAATGAAAGTATGTAAAAAGAGTAGAATAAAACATGATATTTTGTTTCTTTTACCGACTAATATTGAATTGTAAAAATGACTGTATCACTAAAATCACTAGTTATTATACTATGGTGCTTGAGGCATCGTTTCACGTGTCCCGCCTCAAAACATCTCAAGGATACATAATTATGTTTACTATTCAAATTATTGCTTTGTTTCATTGGTTATTAAGTAGTAATTGAAAAGTATAATGTTACTTAATGTTTTGTATTTTGTATAAACTTATCTTTGCAAAAATTCATATGAAGTAACAGTGTAGATTTGTAGAAATTATTTAGTGATGTTTCTTATTGTCTACA